AGTTGGTTTTATGACTGTAAGTCGTTCTTTTCAAATGGTATTTAAGTTAGAAACGTGTATACCAATGTCGTATGTAACTTTAGAGACGGTCCCTAAATGTGCGAATGTCCAATGTCAAACCAAATTTATGCCAGTATATCACTGGGAAACGCTCAGCATTAAACTTTGCGCGTTAAATTCATATTCTGAGTCCATCTGCTAGCCTGCGAGTTTGGTCTTTTATGTCCATTAAGTTACGTTAAGCGTTTTATATGTCCAGCAGGGGAATCCTGACATATTGAGGGAAACCAAACCCTAGTACTGCATGCAGCACATCGCTGCAATATAAGGTTAAGGCAACTAAACAACCAAGAGAAATATGTCAAATGTAACACTGGATCTGTACATCCGCATCGGGGGAATAACATTATCGTTCATGGTAGAGAAAGATGCATGTAACTTAGGCTACACAGGAAAAGTAATCGTGAACACACTGAATTTCACATAAAACAGACGTCATAATAATCACAAATACACTTACATTTTTGCAAATAAGTTTTTATGAATGAATGGCTTGCACTAACTGTTGCTCTGGTCTTCGTCAACAACACGCGCTTGCACCCCCTGCTGGTGTGGTCGACTAACAGCAGATGGAGATAATGCTCGGTAATCTACTACTTTTCCTGCAGCTCCTGGATGTCAATGTTGAATTTACTGTCGAATTTGAACCACTGAATTTGTGGAAGCGAATTTGCAAAGCGAAATAAAATGGACCGAAAACCGCCTGTTGAATATTATAGGTTGTATTTTTAATCAGTTTGAATATTTGGGATATGAAATATGAAAGGTGAATATGGATTATTGAAATTTTACTAATGAAAATGTGTTTGAAATGATTTGATTTGAAATATTCACAGCTTAAATATTCAACCATGCTAAATTTCAGCCTATAAAATTCAAGCCCTAAAAATACAATGCATTAAAATACAAGCAGGGTTAATGCAATGCATATTTTTTTCAAGTAGTACAATTCAACAGGCTTTTTGTTTCAAAAACATTTGGGATTATTTTACTTCCATAGTTCTGACTCTATCACACAAATACAGTTGTGGTCAAAAGTTTACATGACATTGTAGAATCTGAAAAATCTTTCAAAATAGCAAAATAAGAGGGAGTTGTTTTCCAAGTACTGCCCCGATGAAGCTTCCACTTAACATACGTTTACATACTGTTTATTTATCTTTAATAATAAGTTTAATTCTTAATTCTGTGTCGTTACCTGGGTGATCGACACTGTTTTTTGTTTGTATGTTGTGTCACTTGTTTTGTGTCACTTGTTTGTCCTGAGCAGTTAAACCATTGACATAATAAATACATACAACCTTTATTTTTTTTACCAGGAAAGAAGACTCACTGAGATTAAAATCTCTTTTTCGGGAGTGTCCTGGCCAAGATAGGCAGCTAAGTTTACATAGACAATTTACATCAAAGTTACAACATAAACAAATCTCATTACATAAATAAAAATATAAAAATACATCTGGTTACAAACATTTACACACAATTAATTTACTCTGATGATTATCTAATGAATATTTAAATTGACCACAAGATGCTAAATATTTTAACTTCATCTCAGTCTGGAGAAATTTAGAAACATAGACGCCCTATTGGCCGCTTTGGAACGTTGCTGCGATACATCAACGCCCTTTTGCTGAGGGCAAGACTGTACTGTAATCACATGTCATGCAAGTAAACGGTGAGCTGTGTTTTTTCTGGATACATTTTTTTTACATTTATCAACCGATTTCAGTGGTTTGTACGTGGTGTACACAAAGTTCATTCTCTAGTTATTTAAAATCTCAATAGTTAGACTTATAAAATATATTTTTTAATAAGGAATTGTCAAAGCTCAGGCTTGTCATGTATCTGGCTTTTTATTCTTGGATAAGAATTGTGAAGACCCCAATACTGAGATATAATTTATTTTTCACATTCAATTAAATAAAGTTTTCTTATTGTGGAAAAATCATTTTCTGTGATTGGCCCGAATTTAGCAATAAAGATAATTGATGGATCCTTTATGGTAATACATATGATATGGTACAATACAGTGCAATGCAAATAGTAAATATAAGATAAAGTGAGAAGTAATAGTAAATAGTTTAGTCAATAAAATAAACAAACAGTATACAGCAAATAAAATAGTAATGAATAGTATAATTATATAATATAAGTACATAATATAATAATACAAATATTGATAATAGCATATAGTTTATGTATAATACTATGATAATAGCAATGGAATAATAAATATATATTACAGTATATAGACACTAAAAAATAATAAGTTAAATAGTGACTATGAATAGTACAATAATGTAACAGCATAGCCTGTAATAGATTGATAATCACAAGTGGTATAATATAATAATAAGAACAGCAAATACAATGTAATATCAATTGCAGAATATTATAGACAATATGAAAAAAATATGAAACATTATAATATTGATCATTAAACTGACATTTAACAAAACGATTTGTGTCATTTTATTGTATGTAGGCCTACATACAGTGAAGAGAATAAAATGATTCATATATTTTAAAATATTCCTACATATAGGCTATATATATAATAATGTCACAACCCTGTCTCTTTTTGTGAGACCAAAGATCGCCCGTTAGATATACACAAGACCAATTATATCTCATATTTAACCACTTAGATTAGAGACATCAGAGCCAGCGGCAAACGTCAGAAGCACTAGCCGAGGTGAGGCTGTTCCAGGCGGGGAACATGAGCGCTGAGCGCCCGGTGATCGCCTGGATCTCACACATTTTAAAATAGGCGCTATCTTTATAAATAAACCACAGATAGATTTGAGCTTTAAACAACTACATTGTCAACTGAAAAACTAGTATTTTTAAATTCCGCGGCCTTTCTCCTCTGAACGTTACTATACTGATTATATCATGACGAAATACAACCAGAAACAAATTTTCAGTCTTGCTTGTGAAGGATAATTCCTCGAGACCTGTTTTCAATTGTGTGGCGATTTGTACAGCCCCAAGCAGCACACGAAACAGACATTTTTCTCAATTCTCTTTATGAGAAGTATGGGAAAGTTGCCCTCCGCAGTATGGCGGCGCCGTTGATGTACGCTCCAGCGGCCAATAGGGTGTCAATGTATTTATGTCTATGAGTTAAACTGCCCACTGTTCTTAAGAAAAATCCAGGTCCTGTAAATTTTTTGGTTTTCCAGCATATATTGAATATTTAAAAGGTCCCATTCCAAAAGTGACTATGATGTTGAGATCTATCTATTCACACCGAGGACAACTGAGGGACCCACACACAACTAAAGGGTGAAAGATAAGTGAAGTTAAAGAGAGCTGAACTTAGCTGGACGATGACATCACTGTTTTCTCCAGAGCGGCTGTATAGATAAATTAACTAAATTAATAACTTAATGATTTTTACAATGGAAATTAACCATCACTGAACTGGAGTAAGAGTAGAATTATGTCATTCTTAGAATTTTAACTGTATCTTCAATGAAAATAATGAAAGTTTTCTGAACTATTATTCTTGTTCCATCTGTATGAGATGACCATGCACTGCTTGAGCGATGACACTGACACGAATATTTTCACATTGTTGCTTTACTGTTCAGTTCATCTTGTATACAGTAACACTCAGTGTTTACTGCGCATGTGCAACACAACAGAGGATCAATACGGGTGTCGGAAGAACAAAACATGCAACACTTACAATGCAGTTCACAACCATTTAAACCGGTTCCCCTTGTCAAACAATCAAACTTCAATACTAATTTTAGATTAAATTACTGTATTAAATGTAATTCCATCTTTTGCTTATTTACAAGTTATGGAAGTGAACTTTGCTCACTTAAACACCTTCGGGCAATGCTTTTTCTTATGTTTCTGTAGAGTAAATGAATGGCTGAAACTCTTCCCACATGAAGAGCACTGGTGCGGTTTCTCTCCAGTATGAACTCTCTCATGAGCTTTCAGGTTTCCTGACAGAGAGAAACTCTTTCCACAGTGTGAACACTTGAACGGTTTCTCTCCAGTGTGAACTCTCTGGTGTGATTTTAAGTTGCTGGATGAAGTGCAGGTCTTTCCACAGTCAAAGCACATATAAGGTCTCACACCAGTATGAATACGCTCATGCGCTTTTAAAGATCCAAGATGTGAAAAACTCTTTCCACAAGCATAACAAAAGTGAGTTTTCACAGCAGAATGAACTTTAAGGTGTTCTCTTAAGCCTGATTCAAAAACAAATGTTTTATCACACTGATCACAGCTGAATGATCTCACTCCAGAGTGACATCGCAGATGATAGTTGAGAGAGACTTTCTGACTGAAACTCATTCCACACTGAGAGCATGTGAACGGTTTTTCTCCAGTGTGAATCATCATGTGTGTCTTAAGGTGTCCTTTTTGACTGAAAATCTTTCCACACTGAGAGCATGTGAATGGTTTTTCTCCAGTGTGAATTTTCATGTGTTGGTTAAGGTTTGATTTAACTATGAAACTCTTTCCACACTGAGTGCATGTATAAGGCCTTTCTCCAGTGTGAATCATCATGTGTGTGTTCAGCTTTGATTTAGATACGAAACTCTTTCCACACTCAGAACAGGTTAAAGATCCTTCGACTCCAGATTTTCCAGCTTGTTTCTGTGTGAAATTCTCTTCAGTCTTTGAAACGACTGCATTTCCATCTTCATTTGTGAAATAATGTGTTTTTTGAAACTGATGCTGTTTGTCTTCATTCACTTCCATCAGATCTAAAATAAACAAATGAAATTCCCATAATTCAATTAAAGGAGAAATGAGAAACAAAAATAAACATTGTTCAAAGTTTCAATGTAGCACAAATCCCGTTTACTCCTGAGTCTACTAGTATCTAGTTTTAGATGTTATTGTTATATGTCAGTTTTCATCTTAATGTTCCTCATCAGTCATTAAAGAGAATGAAGGAAAACACCAACCTATTTGTTCCTCTGTATCTTCATCTTTTATTCTGCAGGGTTCTTCCTTAATCTCCATCTTTACAATAGTATGTCCGTAGTTTCTCCTGGAGTAATTCCTCCTGCTTGCTTCTTCTTCTCCTGTGGGAAGATGGGAATATTCCCCAGCATTTAAACTCTCATGAACGGCTGTGGGAGCTTCACTGACTGAAGGAGTGAATTGTGGTCGTTGTTGCTCATTTAGCAGATGATCATCACACTTACAATCACTCGAGATTATCCAGGTGCAAATCGTCGTTTAGAAACAATTCAATGATTACTGAATTTACACTTTGGCCTTCATATCAAGCTCAAAGTGTAAATTCAGTGATCATGGAATTTGGCTGTTAAGTGGTGATGCACAATTATTGTCATTCATTGCATTTCAGTGTAGAATTTATGTTGCAAAGAAAAAAAAAACTTGTGCGAATTGAGTTACTTAAGTAATTAACCAATTTCCTTGAGTAGCCATGTGATCAATATAAGGTAAACCCACATTTTAAGTCTGAGCCTGTGTGTGGGGATGTGTATGCGTGTGTATGTGGGTCTCTCTCGTCTTTTCTATCCCTCTCTCTCTCTCTCTCTCTCTCTCTCTCTCTCTCTCTCTCTCTCTCTCTCTCTCTCTCTCTCTCTCTCTCTCTCTCTCTCTCTCTCTCTCAGGTGCAGCTCTGCCTTCATTGAACATGTTCCCAGAGGATTGGCGGACGAGAGAAAAGCATTCTTTCAAATACGCGTGGATGCTGATGTGGAAGAGAGATGCTGTTGGCGTTTTGTATTGAGAGAGTGTTATAGTAGTTTTCTTATGATTCCCCAGACAGCAAAATGGTGTCCACCCAGATCCGGTCCACATCTGGGCCGTGTGGACTCCACCTGTACCACATCTGGGCCGTGTGGACTCCACCTGTACCACATCTGGGCCGACATTATGTTGCTGTCTGGGTCTTGATCTGTTTTGTTAAGTGCCTCATTTTGACTTTGTCCCCCTTGTTCCATGCATTGTATTTTTCATTGTGTCCTTTCATTGTGGCTGAAGACTTTGCTTCATTTTTTTTTGGGCAAAGCTAAAAAAAAAAGAAAAAAAAAAGAAACTTTATGGTGAATGTGAACAGCTGTGTCACCTGGATGTTATTTCTAAATCAATACTTAATTATTCCAAAACAAACATGTTTGGGAGCTAAAAAAAAAATTGTGCTCTAAAAAGTGCGCTCCCAGTGTGATTTTGGGTGCTTCCAAAGGCACACTGTCTCCCAGCCAGAGTTTTTCTTTCCTGGGTACAGTGATGGACTCTATACAAATAAAAGCACGCCATACGTCAGAGCGCACGCTCACCATTCAACGCCTAGCGACATGTTTGAGAACAGGCGGTTGCGCTCCTCTCAAGTGATTTCAGAGGATGTTGGTTCTCATGACCTCAGCATCATCAGTATGCATCAGTATGCAGTATGCTGATATCCCCCACCCCCTCCCCCTCATCACACTTACAATCACTCGAGATTATCCAGGTGTAAATCGTCGTTTAGAAACAATTCAATGATTACTGAATTTACACTTTGGCCTTCATATCAAGCCCATAAGTGTAAATTCAGTGATCATGGAATTTGGCTGTTAAGTGGCGATGCACAGTTATTGTCATTCATTGCATCTTGCATTGAGTGTAGAATTTATGTCACAAAGAAACAAACTTGTGCGAATTGAGTGACTTAAGTAATTAACACATTTCCTTGAGTAGCCTTGTAATCAATATAAGGTAAACCTACATTTTAAGTCTTGGCAGAGTAGAGAAAACCGTCCTTTGAAATACAGCGTGGATGCTGATGCGGAAGAGAGATGCTGTTGGCGTTTTGTATTGAGAGTGTTTTCTTATGATTCCCCAGACAGCAACATGGTGGCGGCCCAGATCCGGTCCACATCTGGGCTGTGTGGACTCCATGTGTACCACATCTGGGCCGGATCTGGGCCGACACGATGTTGGGATTTCTCTCTCTAAACCCCAATGTTGTCATTAATAAAGAAATCAAGTTATCATAACTTAACATTACTTAAAATAGCAAGTTTTGGCATAAAAAAATTAAACAGGTCTGTTTAATGCTCATTTGGCAGCAAAAAACTTAAGAATGAAGAAAATAAAGAATTATTATTTTCTGTGAAATTTACATCAGATGAAGGTAAGTGTGAATTCATAAAATCATTGTAAATAACGTTTACCATAACACAATTAACAGCAACGTTTTTTAGTGCCATATTTTTTTTTCTGAAACGTTTTTTCTAGCCCACTGCCTTCAGTTACTGCGTGCGCTGGCAACTGTTGTAATATAGTAATTTGCCAATAGGTGTCACTGTTGTATTAAGTGAGTCACCACAGTTCTGTTTTTCTTCTTCGCTGTTTTTCTCTCTGTCGTTGTCAGTAATAAAAAAGCACGTGAAACTTCAACAGGTTATGGGCCCAGATCTTCGCTTAAGAAAAAGAAGAGGTAGTTTTACACAGGATTTTTTGTGTGAAATAGACAGTATTCTGGTATTCACCATGGAGGATAAACTGTTTATTGAAAAATTGAGTGGGCCAGAGAACTGGGCAACGTGGAAATTTCAAATGGAACATTTTCTGAAAGCTTAAGGTTTTTGGGGCATGGTAATGGAGACTGACAACGTGGCAGAAGGAGCAAATGCACAGGCAAGAGCAGAATTTGAAAAACGGAAGGAAAAAGCATTTTCTGTGTTGGTGCTGAATGTAAGTACGCCTCAGTTGTATCTGATAACAAGCTGTAAGACCCCTAAGGAAGCTTGGGACACACTAAAAGGACATTTTGAAAGAGACACTCTAGCAAACAAGCTGTTTCTGAAGAAAAAATACTTTAGATGTGAAATGAAAGAAGGAAAATGTAACTGAACATTTGAAACGAATGAAGGAATTAACTGACAAGCTGGGGGCAATAGGTGCGTTGATCGAAGAAGAGGATCAGATTGTAACACTGCTTGGTAGCTTGCAACCAAGCTATGCTACAATAGTTACGGCACTGGAAACTAAGTTGGACAGTTTGACGCTACAGTTTGTTCAGCAAGCATTAATAAATGAAGAACAAAAACGAGTGTCTGCTGATGGTAACTATAGTGATGCTTTGTCTGGTGGTGCGTCAGCGATGTCAATACAAGTTCGCAGTGATATGCAGACTATCTCCAAGACAGCGAGAGATGACAGATCTAGTTCGTGGAGATGTTACAAATGTGGAAAAGAAGGACATATCAAGCGTGACTGTCCAAGTAAGAAAAAACAGACTAAAATTCACAAAGCAAAAAATGTAACATGTGACCATGATGAAGATTCGTCTGAGAGTGCCTTTATCGCTAGAGGTGAAAATCAGGATAAGATGACACAACAGGTCGAGTGGTTGATCGATTCTGGAGCTTCAAAGCACATGACGTGTCACGAAGAAATTCTTCAAGACTACCAGCAATTTCAAAAAACACAGTCTGTGAAACTTGGTGATGGTAGAGTGGTTGACGCTCTAGGAGTGGGTAATGTTAAACTGAGAATGACTACAAATCAGTGATGTAAAAAATGTCACAATGTTTGATGTGCTGTATGTTCCCAAGTTATCCGGGAATCTCTTCTCAGTGGGAGCTGCTGTAAAAAAGGGAAATACTGTGCAGTTCAAGAAGTCTCGTTGTTACATTCGTAACAAAAATGGAAATCTCAGAGGAATGGGAACACAAAGATCTGATGGATTGTATCAGCTGGATGTAGAGGGAAGTGTGCATTGTGCATCAAGTGCACTAACAGCAATCAGTTTGTGGCATCAGCGTCTGGCTCACACCACTAAATTGAAGGAACTGAAAAAACTGGTAAATGGAGTGGACTTTCCTGAAGAGAAAGAAGTTTCTTTCTGTGAAGCATGTGTGGAAGGAAAGCTGTCAAGGAAGCCACATAAGCCAGTAGGTGAAATTCGTTCAAAACGAAAACTACAGTTGGTGCATAGTGACGTCTGTGGTCCGATGCAGACTGAGTCTATAGGTGGATCAAAGTACTTTGTGACTTTTATTGATGATTATTCTAGATGTTGCAAAGTATACTTTATGAAACAAAAGAGTGAAGTTCTTTCCAGATTCAAGGAATTTGAGAAAGCATTATCCAATGAGTGCGGGCAGAAAATAGCCCGCTAATAGCCCTCAGAAAGACTGAGAACGGATAATGGTGGGGAATACACTTCAAAAGAATTTCAAGAATACTTGAAGGTTCAAGGTATCCATCATGAGACAACTGTACCTCACACACCAGAGCAAAATGGTGTTGCAGAAAGAAAGAACAGGACATTAATTGAAGCAGCGAGAACCATGCTCTCTCACGCTAAATTAACAAAGTTGTACTGGGCAGAGGCTGTAGCAACCGCAGCTTACACACAGAACAGACTTCCTACTTCTGTCCTGAAACAAGTGACGCCGTATCAGAGATGGTGCGACAAACAGCCAAATGTGAGTCACATGAAAGTGTTTGGTTGTGTAGCTTATGCACATGTCCCAGACACAGAAAGAAGAAAACTGGATAAGAAGGCTGTGAAGCTTCGTTTCGTGGGATATGCCAACAATGCCAAGGGCGATCGTTTGTACGATGAAGAAAAAAGGAGGATTCTGATTCGTCGGGATGTGATCTTCAATGAGTCAGATTTTGACCTGAAACAGGAAGTGGACATTTCTTGTGTGGAGAACGAAGTGGTCTTGAGAACTGACGAGAGAACATCAGTCGATGCAACTGTCGATGAAACTACTAGAGTAGGTGGCAGAATCAGAAAACCACCTAAGAGATATGGTTATGATGAGTTTGCTGATCTGGTGACTGTTGATCATTATGCTAGTGTTTGTTGTGTTGCAGAACCAAGTACACTGAAAGAGGCAATTATGAGTTCTAACGCAAATGAGTGGCAGGAGGCGGCTGATTTGGAATATGAATCACTGCTTGAAAATAAAACGTGGGATTTGTTGGAATTACCAAAGGATCGGAAGGCCATAGGATCGAGATGGGTGTTTAAAGTTAAGCATCATAGTGACGGACGAGTGGAGAGATACAAGTGCAGGAGATCTATATGGAGCAACCAGAGGGATACATCCAGGGTTTCCGCGGGGTTGTAAAAGGTAGTAAAAGGTAGTAAATTAAATTATGCCAAATTAAGGCCAGTAAAAAGTAGTAAAAAGTAGTAAACGTCATCTGACGAAGTAGTAAATTTTCGAACCCCCATCCAACTAGGCCTATGAGTTTCAATTTGTGTTAAGTGCAGGACTTTGTTCTAAAATTCGCGTTGATTTATTTATATGTTGCGAGTAGGACCTGTGCGATATCATGTGACGT